TCGTCCAATTTTTTACGAAAAGGATCGATTAAAACGGTAGCAGACCGAGCTTGAGAACAGTGAAGTCGTTGTTTGTGAAATAGTTTCGTGCTTTTATTAATTTTTAACTGTTTTTTTTTCTTGACTTTTCAAATTTTATAAAGATTATGTCTTTAACAGACAATTTTGTTTCCCCCCTTATGGGATGCCCCGTAGCTACAGAACAGATAAACGTACTGTAAAATACAAATTTAATATCTAGGTGCTAAATGTCTAAATATTCCTATTTGAATTTTTAATTGTTGAGTTATACAGGGTGTTTCAAAAAACATGTACCATCTCTCGTGGGGAGATTCCTCACGTAAACATAAGATTTATTTTTCATATCAACATAGGTTTCTTTGTTTCATAGCTACAGGGTGTTAAAGTCTTAATAATCTTTCGATTTAGTATAATTTTTTTCCAAGTATACTTTTAGTGATTTGAATGAAATTTTGAGGGTAAAACTTACTATAAATGCTAAATATTTTAATGTTAAAAAAGTGTCGATAAATTCATTAATGACGTGGATATAGATTACACTGAAATATTTTTCAAAAATAAAACATGTGCGCCACTGACTTTTTTCTTTTGATATCAAAATTATGTAGGCTGTTTAATGCGAATTAAATGTTATCTCTTGATAGTTTGTCGAATTCGGCCTCCTTGATGAGATAAACGTAATTTTATTAATCACAATTAATAAAATTAAAATTAAAATAAAATTAATAAATTATACAGGGTGGCGCATCTCATTCGCCTCGGTTGATTATACAAAAACGGAAAGATGAAGAAACAAAATATTTTATGGGTATATGTGGGGAGACAATGTGGCACTATTTAAAATTATTTTGAAATATACAGGGTGTTTCGGAACTAAGATCCATACCAAAGTTATATTTTTTCTTATGGAACGCCCTGTATTTTATTTCATTTTTGAATTCTTGGGCCCAAAAAAAAGTATTTATTATAGGGGTTAAATATGTTTAAAATCTTTAGTTTTTGAGATATTTAAAGACATTTAAATTTGCATGCTACAATAGAATAGACTATTAACACCCTGTACATTACTTTTCAGAATTAATTCTTATGCTGAGTTTAAAGATAGAGAAATAAACTTTACTGAAAAATTGTATTGGTTCCTTAAATTTATACAGGGCTATCAAAAGTTGCTGATCTATTTTAAGGATATATTTTATATAAAAACTTCGTTATTTCAAATACAACACCCTATATTTTTTTAAATAAATCGAAGCAGATTCAAATGCTCTTTCAAACTATATTAGGGTTTCCTATACTAACAAGCGATTTTTAAATAAAATTGTAATCAAGTTGGCTGGTGTCGCCATGACAATGTTCTAGTGACAGTTAGTAACTATTTTTAAAGTCGGCATTAGTTTATGGACATTATTATCTATAATTCATAATAGTTTACTTAAATTTACCTACAAGAGTTTAATAAGTAAGTACTCATTATTATCAAGAAAAATAAAGCAGTATCTGCTGGCGGAACGAATAGATATGTTACTAGTGATATTATTTTGTGAGGAAAATTGCTTCTTGGCCTCAAGGGCTTATGCTCAAAGATATCCAAATAGGAATCTTCCTAATAAGCTATGTTTCTTTGAAAAACTTCGTGTCCTATTTCGCAGAGCTGGTCGTGTGGTTTATAAAAAAACCTATTAGGCAGAAACCTGCCGCTGGAAGTAAGAAAATGAATTTGCCGTAATTGGCTCTTTTATAGAAAATCCATATATCTACAAATTATCGTAAAATAATTCAAAGAACTACTTCGTTTTTCTAGATAGAATAATAAACACATATTTAATAAATATTATTTATTAAACTATTGTAGGTAAATTAAATAAAAGTAAACTGGTATAAATTTAAATAGGTCCATAAACTAATTTCCATTTTGAAAATAGCAACTAACTGTCACTAAAAACTTGCCAGGAGAACACTAGCCATCTTGATTACAGTTTTATTGAAAAATCGCTTTTTATTCAAAATCTGAGCCAGATAGGTATAGGAAACCCTAATATAGTTTGAAAGAGCATTTAAATATAGTGTTGTATTGGAAATAACGAAGTTTTTATGTAAAACAAATATTTAAAATAGGCCAGCAATTTTTGATACCCCTGTATACATTTAAGGAAGAAATAAAAATTTTCTGTAAAGTTTATTTCTCTACCTTTAAACTCAGCACAAGAATTAATTCTGAAAAGTAATGTACAGGGTGTTAATAATCTATTCTATTGTAGGATGCAAATTTAAATATATTTAAATATCTCAAAAACCAAGGATTTTCAACATATTTAACCCTTATATTAAATACCTTTTTTAGGGCCCAAGAATCCAAAAATGAAATAAAATACAGGGTGCTCCATAAGAAAAAATATAACTTTGGTATGGATCTAGTTCTGAAACACCCACATTTCAAAATAATTTTAAATTGTGCACATTACCTCCCTACATATACCTATGAAATATTTTATTTCTACATCTTTCAATAAATAATAATGGTATTTAAGATAATTACAATTAAAATTTTACATTTATATAATAACAAATAATGGTACCTATTTAAGATAATTACAAAAAACCTAATTTTAAAAAGTTTTCACATCCTGTACTTAACTCTAAAACTATGTATTTCCATATCCATGTCTATAGGAACTATTTTTCGTATTTTTTGATGAGAAATCAATGAGTACTTAATTAAAACTTTCGCAAGTTAATGATATTAAAATTTTTAAAAGGTTGCTATTAAGACTTTGATCAAAGCAAATTAATAAAATTCTGTTTAATTATCTCATTAAGGAGGTCAAAATCGACGACATATCAATATACAACTTTTAATCGGCAATAGATTGCTTACACTAGTTCGCTAACAAGAGAAAAGAAAGTCAGTGGCGTACATGCTTTTTCTAGAAAAATATTCCAGTGATAACCCATATGCACGTCCCTGGTGAATATGTCGACACTTTTTTAGCTTTAAAATATGTCGCACTTATAGTAACTTTTACCCTCAAAATTTCATTCGAAAAGCTAAAAGTACTTTAAACAAAATTAAAATAAATCGAAAAAATATTTCGAAGACTTTAACACCCTGTAGCTACGAAACAGCAAAATCCGACCTATGTTGATATGAAAAATAAATCCTATTTTTACGTGAGGAATCTCTTTACGAGAGATAGGACGTGTTTTGTGAAAAACCCTGTATAATATTTTGATATGTTTTATTTTATACACGATGTTTTTTTAGGAAATATGGCGAATATATTAAAAAATACGTTTAATATGCAAAAGGTGCAAAATAGGCACTTACTCTAAATATTACCACAAACCCATTTTAATTTTTCTTAACTTAAATTTTTAAAAACATTTCCAAGAAATGTATGGTTAACCTGTTTTCAAACCTAGTTACCTTGTTTGTTTACTTAATCATTATTCATATTATGTTGTTTATGCATTATACCACCACTTTAAGCTCAAAATTACTAGTTTTGTAAATTCTTCTTAAACTCTCTGTTGTAATTTTGTAGGTTAAATAATATGCCCTCGTTCTGTTCTAATCTCATTACATAAATTATGTATGCAAAAATTTGCATAACAATCTAACTTCAAACGATATAATATTTAAGTTCACAACTTCAAAATTAACTTATTTTAGTTACTATTAATTATTGTAATTTAAACTTAAAAAGAGGTTTTGTTGTTTTAAAGACATATTTTCCTTTATATAATGGAATTTACACTTTAACAATATCAAATATCCAGCTACAGGCGTAAGGGCTAAACATAATTTTTAGTGTATAAAAAGTGTTGGATTAATTATGAAAGTATACAGGGTCGCTTTTATGTATGGAAACGGTGGATTATTAGGTAAAATATACAAGGTACCGGAAAAAGTTAAATACAAAAATTATAGCGTTTTTAAATGTCTATTGGCGAGTAATAAATTTATGTATACAGGATCGGACATAAAATCGTGGCACATCAAAGTTTCATTTTTTTAAATAGAACCCCATGTATATTATTGCATATTTTAGTTCTTCCTTCAATTCTAAACAAAAATTGTAATACATATAATATACCTCAAACCAACCGTTTCCGAGTTATTGACTTTTGAACATATCACTTAAACAATTTGATTTAATTAACGATGCCATTCTGACGAAACTGTGATACTTAATAATATTTAACATTAGTTCTCAAGTTAGCATTTATAGATGTATAAAATGAGATTTTATCAAGTCTGGAAATTACAAAATTTAAGTTTAACATTTCAATTCTTTAATTTATGTACATTGTGTATTACGATTATTGCTTACAATTGAAGAAAGAATTGAAAAATGCAATAATATACAGGGAGTTTCATTTAGAAAAAATAAAGTTTGATGTACCACAACTTTATGACCGACCCTGTATACTTAAATTTACTAGTAGCTAATAGGCATTTAAAACCCCATTACAACAGTATCACAGTTTCGGCAGAATGACATCATTAAATGAAACTGAACATATCGATATTAATTAAATCAAATTGTTTAAGTGATATGTTCAAAAGTCAATAACTCGGAAACGGTTGGTTTGAGGTACATTGTGTGTATTTCGATTTTTCCTTAGAATTGAAGGAAGAATTGAAATATGCAATAATATACAGGGGGTTCTATTTAAAAAATTAAAACTTTGATATGCCACGACTTTATGACCAACTCTGTATATATGAATTTTTTACTTGCTAATAGATAATTAAAAATCCTATAAATTTTGTATTTAATTTTTTGCGGTACCTCCTATATTTTACCTAATAACCGACCGTTTCAATACATAACAGCGACCGATTAATAATTTCAAGAAAATATTATATTGTATGTTTCAATGCCTCTGTGCCAACAAAATATCTCAGTTATCTACAAATCTGGATTTAACGAACATACCTATATAAAAATTGTTAATTATGTGTTTATAAAACTTACTTGGATATACAGAACAATCTTGCACATAGCCGTTCCAAACCACCAGGTGCTCGTGACGTCCCAAACGACCGAAAATGGCAAACAGAACAGGATCACTAAAGCGTCCGCTATAGCTAAGTTCACTATAAAATAATTTGTCACAGTTCGCATGCTGTGATTCCTGTACACTGCTACACACACTAGAACGTTGCCTAGTAACCCTACCACGAACACAACACAGTGAAAGAATATTAACACCCAAGTCCATGTTTTTGGAACAGTGTATTCTCTAATGAAATCCAAATCTTTCTCCGATATATTATAAGAATAATCATATGTCTCATTAGTAAATATATCTTGTTGCTCTTCTTCGCCTTCTAAGGCCTCCTCTTCGGCTAGTTGACGTTTGACAACTAGTTTTGACAGGTGATCATCAGCGTCATATTCTATATTATCGCTTTCTGTAAGCCAATTTTCATAATCCAGACCTGCATGATACGCACTTAGTCTTAAAATACTGTTCACATTTTCAATGCGTACGGATAATAAGATGACAATCAAAAATGATAGTATCATGTTGGAAATCATGTTCTTCTGTCAAGTTCTGTATTTTTCATGGTGAAATTATTCTGAAAACAAAATAAACAGTTATAAATAAAATAAATATTAAATATAAAAAGTAGTGAATAATATACATACTCAATACAAAAAGAAACGCAACGGAGAAATTTTTGATCAAATTTAAAGTTCATATTTTAGTTATTTTTAGCCCTATTTTCATGATTTTTTAGCAAGCTCTATATAATTATATGAACTTTAATTCGTAAACTCACTTTTTTATAAAATTTAACATTTGGTATATACAGGGTTGTTCATCACATACACACGGAGTATTGTAGCTAAACGACTAGATTTTTACAAATTGTAAGTTTTGAGTTCGTTGAAGGACTATTAGAGCTACAATTTAAAAATATAGACAGACTGTCCCAAATAAATAAAAAATATCAAAGTTGTACTTTTTTAAATGGAACACCCTACATATTATTACATTTTTAGTTTCTACGATTAAAATAAAGGTAAATTTGATTAAGGATTATTACACTTAAAAAACGTTTGAAATATTTTCAATCACGTTTGAAATATTTTCAATTTTGTGAAATTGCAGTATAAATTTTAAGGCTTCATTTCTCCGAGGGTATCAAAGTTTTTAATACTAAATATTTACTGAAGTTTATTTATTGATCAGTTATTGTGTTGCAATAATAAAAACTTTACTACCTTATACAGAGTGTCTAAAAATTTATTTTAAATAATTACTAGCTTTAAACGGCAATAACTTGTTTAATTTAAATGGAACACCCTGTATATTTTATGAGAATCAGATGCACAATTTAATTGTCTATCAAATTGTATTATACCATTTTTTACCAATCTCTTCAAGTTTCCATAGAAAATGCATTTTCTTGTAATTTAGAACTCATTTATCAATATACCCATGGAATACTGACATTTTAGATTATTTTTAAAGATGTACTAAATTTTTATAGAGTACAGATACTAATATTGTCGATATAATTCGTTTATTTCATTAAAAAATAAAAAAAATGTTTACATATTTGTTAAAGAGGACCAATTAATATGATTCCAGTATTCAAACTACATTAATTGACTGTTTGCGTTGATTAATAAATAATAATTGCTCCAAATACTAAAAAACTGAATTATGTATGTATATTAGATAGTGTGGTAAAAAGTAACACCTTAAAAATGATATTTAATTTTTTAACAAATGTTTATTTATAACAGTAGAGACGTTCATTTCCATAACTTATTATTATATTGATTTCTGATTCAAATCCACACTTATTTAGAATAATTTATTAACGAACACAATTAAGTATGTAGTTAATTAGTATTTGGGCGGAAATACTGGTGGTATATTTAATTAATGATATACTCTTTTACAAAGATTTAAATAGTTTTCTTTTTGCATATAAATGGGCTAGTAATATTATCGTTTTACTATTGTCGTTTTTAGTAAAACGATAATATTACTAGCCTGTACATTTTGTACATTTGTTGTTTTAAAAACAATATAAAATGTCAATATTCCATAGATATATTGATAAATGAGGTCTAAATTATAAGAAAATGCATTTTCTACGAAAACTTGAAGGAATAGGTAAGAAGTGGTATAATACAATTTGATAAACAATTAAATTTTGCATCTGATTCTCATAAAATATACAGGGTGTTCTATTTAAATTAAATAAGTTATTGCCGTTTAAAGCTAGTAATTATTTAAAATAAATTTTTAGACACTCTGTATAAAGTAGTATAATTTTTATTATTGCAACACAATAATTGATCAATAAATAAACTTCAGTAAATATTTAGTATTAAAAACTTTTATATCCTCGGAGAAATGAAGCCTTAAAATTTACACTGCAATTTCGCAAAATTGAAAATATCTCAAAAACGGTGAGGTTTAAGTGGAATAAACCCTAACCAAATTTATCTTTATTTTAATCGTAGAAACCAAAAATGTAATAATATACAGGGTGTTCTATTTAAAAAAAATAGAACTTTGATATTTTTTATTTATTTGGGACACTCTCTATCTTGTAAAAATATTTTTAAATTGTAGCTCTAATAGTCCTTCAACGAACCCAAAACTTACAATTTGTAAAAATCTAATCGTTTAGCTACAATACTCCGTGTCGTATGTGGTGAACAACCCTGTATACAAGGTTGATCTAGGAGTTGTTTCTTTACCCTAACTTTGTGAAATAATTTCGTGTGTAATGTTTCTCAAATTATATTTTACGGTCAGAACAATGTCTCCTGAGCATTTTGTTTTTTTGGATCATGCCAGTACTTGCTTTAGTTAATTTTTAACAGCGAAATAAACTTGCCACCAACAATTTGCAATTTTTTTAATTATCATTTCTTTTTGAAGTTATTTTTCAATATGACAAGGCGGCTTTGATGATTAATGTGAACTATAATATACTACTATGAACTGCCCATCATGTTCGACGTTTGGGAAATGCTTGGCAGGAGAGTTATAGGTCGCGAAGCGGTACCAGCTTCATTAAATGAACTTCGCTTGGTCCTTAAAGAAGAATGGGAAAACATATGGCAATATGTGAGGCAATATGATTTGGTTTGATTTGGTTTGGTACACACAACCAAACTTATATGGAATCATTCTTTATTTCTGACTAAATTTCTTGCAAGGATAAAAATTGGTATACAACTTTAAGATAAGGCTTTTTGTTGTAAATAAACACGATAATAAAGAATAAACGACTGCAGGCGATTTATTTTCTTTTGAATTTTGTGTTCAGTAGTAAAATCACGATTGTCCGGTAATTTTCATTCAACGCAACAAAAATTCACAGTCCTTTACAAAGATGCAACCGGGGGGGGGCATTGAAAATGATGAATAAAAACGTAAAAATATGATTAGTGTTAATATGAGTGTTTTACATACATATGTTTAAATAACGAACTTAACAAAAAACAACAGATTTAAAGATTCACTGAAAAAGTAGTAATGTTAACATTAAATATAACATTATCAATAATAATTATGCGATCGCACCTATCCGTAAAACAAGCAAGCAAAAAAACCTCGAAAAAAACAAAATAACATACAAAACATCAGGTTAACATGATGACAGATCATGATCAATGACAGATAAAGAATTCTTACGGAAAGTTACACTTTACGATATAACTTTTTACCTGTTAAAGGCAAACCCCATTTAAACACAAAACTTTTTAATACCTACTACTGTATCTAAAAGACTTTTTTTTAAATTACTAAATTCTTAGCCACGCTTCTGTTTTTCTTGGCTGTTGTGCGTCACGTCACAGATTAACAGGCCCACGTTTGCACCACAAGGCGATGCTGCAGACCACTAGGTAGACCGGTCGTAGAAATTTATGTTATACAACTTGTAGTCAATCTACACAAATATTATCAAAAACTTTTTTTCTTTTAAAATGTGTTCAGATTTTGTAAAAAGTATAAGTCAAAATCGCAAAACTTAAATTTGATATGAGTTTCTTAGTTTTTTACTAATATAGTGGCGAATTACAAAAATTCTTTTTCAATGAAAATTATTGAGTTAAATAAAATAATTTAATAAATTACTAGCTTTTTCTCGCGACTACGTTCGCCTTACACCTCGAATCGTTTATGCATTGATTTAAATTATTTTTTACTTCTTTATAGAGAGCTCGTGAGCATATAGATGTTTTTATTTCTCATCTTTTTTTTATTTATTAAGAGCACTAATACTCTCTTTATAGGTTATTTTTTATTCTTTGAAGGATAATTGAGGAAGATATATTTCGTTATGATGTCACTAAATAAACCCTTGTATAAAATTTTATACTCTCTGGTTTATAATGTTATAGTATTGCATTTTCGTACAGCAAACTTTCATTCCCTATTCTAGTCCCTAAGGGTATAAATTTCATAAATTCGCTTTACCTTTGTGCCAATTTTTATGTGTATAATCCAGAGGTCACCAAGTTTTATATAATTTTTTACTAACTTTACCCATTTGGTTGATGAATTTCAAAAATTTCTTCTAATTCTTTTTGTAGGATTTCATTCTTCTAGACCAAATAGTAAGGAATTTCCATACAACAAACTGTTCCGAGATAATTTTACTCTCTAAGAGGATGAATTTCCTAAAATCGCTTTGTGTAGCTATTTCACTAATGTCGTTTAAACGAACCTTTGTGCTAATATTTATGTATCTAAAGCTGGCGGCATGAACTCACTCTAAAATATCTAAAAACGTAATATACAATCTAACTGACACACCACTGACAATGACAAATAATTTATTTCTGGAGGTATTGTGTGTAGGCGTTTTTCAGGTATGTTTTAGTATTTAGTCGTTTTACACAAAGAAATAGCCATTAAGCACTATAAAAATACTTCATAACAAATCTACACATATATACCTTTCATTTAAAAAAGAATCATCAAGATTGGTAAAGCGGTTTCGGCGGGATGGATGCAACAAAAAAACCCTTTGAGCTTTTATATATGTATGGATTAATTATTTTTCCAACATATTTTACTTTGCAAATTTTTATAAATATTCAGACTCGCCAATATCGTACTCCACCGTGTCCAGCCTGTTTAGCCAAACGTAGGCCGATTCCTCTTCGGCGGCGTCGTGACCCTGGCCGAAGGAAGAGTCTTGAAGACGCTCATCCGCGCATAGGAATAAGTTGACTGCGTAGCGTATTGCGTATTAATCGATTCTGAAACTTTCTATCTCGTGTATAACATGTTACGCAAGTTTATTATTTTAATCTCGATTTTAATAGATAAATGTGTGAAATGCCACCTGAATATCTTCCGCCATGACATGTTTTTACTTTTTTGTTATGGTAAAGTGATTTGTATAAACTTTATTCAATAACGTATATTTTCCTCCATTTGTGATTTTTTAATTTTAAGCGAAAATTAAGTATAACATTTTAGGAAAAAGAAACACTGTAATATTTAAAAGAATAAGAAGAAATTAGTCTTATTTTGAAAGGAA